AAAAAAAAAAAAAGCAACCAATGAATGTAGAATACATAAGTGGAACACCAAATGTATGTTTCTCTTTCACTCTCTTTCCCTCCTCCCCTTCCTCTCCCTCCCTGCCTCCCACCCTCCCTCCTCTTTCCCTCTACCTCTCCCCTCTGCACTGGGGGGATAGGTAGAGGGAAAGGGAGAGAGGAAGAAAATCAAGGGAGGGGATAAATAGTGATGGGGGAAAAAAGAAAAATAATGAATATAATCAATTTTTTTAAAAAAATCAGTGCACACTGCATCCATTCTTAGCTGCCCAGGGTCTTTTCGATGAGCCAAGGCCTCTGGATCCACCATTAGTACTTGTTAGCCAGAGAGGGGAACAATGGTGGGGTGGAAATTTATAGTGAAGTGTGATTGGTTGGGATGGGGGCAAGCCAACTCAGTATGGGAGGGGAGAAGAGGCTTCCTGGAGGAGGGGACAAGAGTCATGGAGTGGGGATGGGGGTGGGGCAGTTCTGGCTCCAAGCTGGGTGGCCTCCACTCTGCAGGACCCAGGGTTGATTTGCCCTGAACCATCTGGGGATGGAGTTGAACTGTGTACACCTCTGAGGTTTGTCCACCAGTCTCCCTGAGAACATACGGGAAAAGGGGGGAAGGAAGACTGAGCACCCCCTGCAGGCCAATCCCAGGGCTGCACTGGCTGTATTTCCTTCTAGTCTTTTTTCCAACAGTGGAGAAGGGGACTTTGAGTGCTGTTGTGAGCACGTTTCCATGTTGTGTGTGACTTTGTGGTGGCATTGCCATCTTTTTCTTTATTAGAGAAGTAACATTTATGCAAGGGGAGCTGTGCTGGTGGGTTTGTTCGTCCTTGGCAGGGCCTGTGGTGGGCACTCCTGGACTGTGGCTTTGGTCCTCCCTATTGGGCACTGTCTTGAAGCAGGGGCCCTGCCTCCCTACTGAGGCTTCAGGGATAGTTTTCATTGGAATTAACAGGCACAGAGGATAGCTCTGTTGGTAGCTGTATATTGCCTATATCTTTCCAGAAAAGTCCTGTGGGTTGGTTTACCTCATGGGTGCACCCAAGTTGTCAGAAATAACTGTGGCTACTGCCCAACTTACATCCTGGCCTGGCCCTGTGGGCACCTCTGCCCCTTCCCCACTGACACTCTCCACCCCCTTCTCTGCAGTCAAAGAGAAGCTCCGCCTGGACCCTGACAGTGAGATTGCCACCACCGGCGTGCGGGTCTCTCTCATCTGCCCAGTGAGTCAATGTGGGGCCTTCCCCCTCACCTGTGCATTATGTGGGGGCTCCCTGGTGGCCTGCTCACACCCTCTTCCCCTCCCCCCAGCTGGTGAAGATGCGGCTGTCCGTGCCCTGCCGGGCAGAGACCTGCGCCCACCTGCAGTGCTTCGATGCTGTCTTTTACCTCCAGATGAATGAGAAGAAGCCTACCTGGATGTGCCCGGTGTGTGACAAACCAGCCCCCTACGACCAGCTCATCATAGATGGGTGAGTAACTGAGACACAGAGGGACTGCACTGCCTACTGGGCTGTACCTCACCTCTCGTGGGCCTCTGGGGAATGAGCAGCAGAGCCATGCAACTTCGTGGCCTCTGTGGCCTTTTGGAGCTTTGGAAGTCCCAAGTTACAAAGAAAGGCACTTACTAGGGCTTTTACTGTGCAGGCAGCAGCACTGTAGCTTAGGGTTCAGAAGTAGGGCTCTGGACCCAGGAGTCCAGTATTCTCTGGATGACCTTGTGTTCCTGGAGGCTATTTTCCCCCATATAACATGGGGACCTGAGAACCCCTTACCTCCATTCTAATGCACAAAGTTGTTTCCTGAAGTTCGTTCAGTACCTTAGTCACACCCTCCATAAAAAGGTGAAAAGGACATGTCTCCACCAAATTCTGGTCACATTCCCCTTGTCCCCTTCCTAGATGGCACTGGCATGTGGCCATACTGTCCCTCAGCCTAACAAGCAGGCCCTTCCCACGCCACTTGGGGACAAGGGGCAAAAGGCCGTTCTCCCCAAAAGGGAAACTTTGCTTAGGTCTTAGGTTTCCAGAAACTGAGCCCAGCACCTGACTGAGTAGCTCCTGCCAGGCGCTGGCCACACCCACCCGTCCCTGGAGTCAAGCGGGGGCAGGGAGAGGCGACAGCCTAGACAGAAGCTAGTCACTCAATTCTGGACTCGCCAGCCCTTGAAAACTGAGACTCGAAGCTAGGGGTGTGTGCACACAGTAGGGACAGGAATGACCTACAGCAGCTAGGTGTGAATTTGTCCCCTCATTCAAGCACTTATCTTTGGTCATCATGCTCAGGGTCTTACCAAGGCCTCCCTTCCAATTGTCCCAGGAGGTGGGCCTTAATCATCTTCACCTTTCAGATGGGGAGACTGAAGCTCAGGGGGGCACCCACCTGCCCTGGGACCCTCCAGCTCGTAGGTAGCCAGGCCAGGACTCAAGCCGAGGTTTAGCCAATTCTGAGCCTGGGTCCCTTCCCCGGAGGGGCCAAGCCACAGCCCCCTGTGCTGTCCAACCTCAGGGTGGAATGAGGAGGCCCTTGGGGCTGGGCATGAGGTCTGGGCCTGAATGGCAGCTCTGTTCCCAGCCTGGCAGCTGTGCAGCTCAGCACCCGCCTTCCCTCCCCACAACAGTCCTAGAGTGGGTCACTCAGGCTCCGGTGGTGGCAGCTCTGGCAGAGCTGGGGATGGTGGCTCTGACCCACAGCGACCACGATCCCAGCAAGCTCATGGGACCTGGTATAGCCTTGGAAGCTTGCTGGAGGAAGAGTTTTTGGTTCGTGTATTTGTTCTTCGAGGCTCTGCCATCTGTTCCTCCCTGGCCCTGAGCTAGGTGATCCATGTGTCCCCAAAAGGACTCTGTTCCAGACCCTATCTTCAGGGAACCCCCACCTGAGCATGAGGGCATGGGGGAACTGAGCCAGACCCAGATACTGTTGCTTATACTCTGCCTGGAGGAGGAAGAGGAGCTGTATAGAGTGGGGCTTTGGAGGGTGAGTAGGATTTTTCCAGGTGGAGAAGTACATTGCAGAAAAGGCTGTGTTCACACAAGGGTGACCCTGGGGTGGTTGGTCTCTGAGTGTGGCGATGGAGAGGAGGCCTCAGGGTAGGGATGGGAAGGGCCCCATCAGCCCCAGAGGGTGTCCTGGAACAGGACAGCCTCCCTCCTGTGTGACTGTGACCTAGATGGTCAAATTCATTTGGAGGCAGGTGCATCTTTGACATTGAACAAGTGCTGGGGGTCATGGTGACCCATTGCCACTGCAGCATGTGTTTTCTGCACCAGGCCTGGCCTGGGCATTGGCTGTTCTTAAGGTCCCCCCAGCTGCTGGAGATGGTGGCTGCTGTGCCCACCTCATCCTGCTGTGGGGGAGACTAGGGCCTTGTGGCCAGGAAATGTCAGGGAGCAGGGACTGGACTGCAACCCAGGCCTGCTGCCACCTGGTCTTGTGGCCTCAGGGAGCTCACTCCTCCTCCCTGAGCCTTAGTTCCTCCATCTGTAAAATGAGCCTGGCTGACAGTACCTTAGCAGCCAGTACCCAGGGTCAGAGCACCCCTCACTGGGCCTGGTTTGCCATGGGTGCGCTCTGGGAGACACTGTTGTCTGTGTGGGACTGAGGAGGCCCCGCTTCTTCCTCTTGCTCTACCCTACAGCCTCTCCAGAGGGCTTTGAGTAGCATGTACCTGCCCTTCAAGCCTCAGTGTCCTTATCTGTAAAAATGAGGGAAGCACAGAATCCGGATGCCAGGGTGGGGGCCACTCTGTTAAGGGGCTGGGTGAGAAGGACACTCCTGCAGGCAGCCCCCCAGACCCTATGCTTTTAAGGAGTTGGAGGGAGTCCCATCACCATGCCATGAGTGGGTGACTGCAAGCCTTCAAAGCAATTTGCAGACCCCCCGGAGGGCCCAGCTTGTGCAGGCCCCAAGCAAGGGAGAGAAGACTGGGTGGCCTTCTCTCCCTTCAGGACCTCAGATCACTGGGCCCTGACTGGTGCTTTCCTGAAACTTCTTTTGCAAAGAAGAAAGTGGCTTAGCAATCATCCCACCAGAGTCCAGGGGAGCAGGGTGCAGCTCAGCTGGCCTAAGAATCA